AGAGAAAGAGAGATAGACAGACAGACAGACAGACACACACACACACACACACACACAGATTTTCAAATAAAAACACACAGATATTCATTGAATTAGAAAAAATTGAAAATATCTATCACTCTTTGTATAGGAGGCTGGTTAAATTAAGTATGACATTTCTGTATGGTGGAATATTATACAGCTATAAAAAAGAGAATCAGATCATTTCTTATTTTTGTGATAAAATATCTCTAATCTAGATTCCTAAAAAAAAAAAGCAAAGTGATGAGGTACATGCAGTTATGCTAGATACAAACACATATAGATGTGCATATGTTTTTTGCATAAATTGTGAAATATAAATATATATTAAACATATGTAAAAGTGGTTATGTTGGATTAAGATGGGAATAAATGGGATAGATAGAAATAAAAATATAAGAAATAATTTCTCTAAAACCTTTGTGTTTGGGTTTTATGCTGATTTCGAACCATCTTCGCTATATCATCTATTCTAAAATTAAAAACAAACAAAACAAAAGGCCTTCATCAAATGAAAAAAAAACCAAAAGAGGTTGTTATAACCATAACCTGAATAAGAACCTCAGGCACCTGAACATTGTAAGTCAGTGCCTGTCCTTACAGGAATATCTTCATTGACTGCAAACTCTTCTGCAAAGAGAATGTCACTTCACAGTAAGATAAACAGAAGAAACAAATAAATCCTGACTCTAGATAGACAGCCCATCAAGATGTAAAATTGTGGACATCCAATTATGTATTTCTGCTCAAAAGCCCTGTTGTTACTTATATCCAGGTCTACTCTGTTTATGATCTCACACCATCTTTCTATACTTCTGTCTAACAAAGCTGGAGAATTCACACTGCCTTGGAATTCTCTGACACTCCATGTTTTGACACATTTCCTTCCTGTCCCTTGGAATGTTTCTCATCTTCCCAATGCTAGATTTTCCTGAAAACTACCACAAAGATTTCCTCCAAAACTGTCCAAATTCCCAGAAAGGATAAGATCAGATGATACAACACCTACCAAATTCTCTAGTTTATGGCCTGGCAAATAACAGGAATGCATAAATACTGGATGAATTCTCTACCCCAATAGAGTATTCTTTGTATCTTCTTGTGGTACTTGACAAATTTTATTTGCATCATAATTATTAAAAATAATAGTCACTCTAGATTATAAGCTTTTAGAACGCAAATGTTGTGAGGAGTTGTCACACATACAGTAGCTGTTGAAAAATAATTTTATATTGAGTTTAATTGAAACTCATGTTTCAATCAGATCTGCCTTTAAATTAAAACTGTATTTTTGTATGAGTGTGGAATTTGAAGAAGTTGGAAAATAATGATTACTTAAAATGTGACCATATGTGACTCTGTAGTAGAATTCTGAGGTTTTGTCCTTTCTTTTGGGGAAAGCATTTTAATTTCTACATCAGGAGAGTCCTCTTTTCAGCAGAGAGCCCAGGTGCTGCATCTGTAGTGCCCGTCAACTACAGGCACGAGAGGGCCTGTGAGCTAGGCCTGACCACACAGAGTGTGCACCCAAGTTCAGTAATTGTTCAGCTATGGTCATGTGATCCAATTCAGTCCCATCAGCTCTAAATCTGACACTTTGTTGTGGTGATTGGGTGAAGCCATTCTTTCCCCACAGTTTGCTGAAAGGATCAACTCAGTAGGAACTTGACAATTTGGTGACAGCTTCCACCAGAGATTCTTACAGTACAGTGAAAAGAAGTGCTGAGGAATGAAAAAAATGAGAGCTAATCCTGATAATCCTGTGTGAGCTCCTGGATCCAGCCATTCCTGACTTTGTTGTCCTTGGACTTTTCACACATAAAATACTATCTCTTTTGCCTAGGCTAGTTTGAACTCATTTTCTATCATTTGCAAACAAATAAGTTTTTCTCATTCTAAGCTGAAATTTAGAATACTTATAAGGACATTTTAAAGTCTAATTATATAATATTTATTGCACAGTGTAAAAAATACACTTCTGGTATCCAAAGAGTATCCAATGACTTTTAAAATACATTTATTAAAATTAATTATGAGAAATATTTTTTTAAAATTATACTATGAGTTCTGGGGTACATGTGCAGATTGTGCAGAACTGTTACACAGGTATACACATTTTCTAAGTGTATGGGAATATCACAATTATCCGAAAATGTAGTGCAATAATTTTTTTTACCTGTTACAAGAATGGTGTTTATTTCTTTAGGAATATCTTAAAGAGATGAATACATCTCTGGGATGAATCCTTCATATGAGACACTTTCAGCAATCCTGTGTTTAAATACCACAGGCAGGACCAATGGCTAACAAAACACTCTCTCTCGAAAGTCTTCCCCTAACCATTTACCGTGGCATCAGTCTCCTCACTTGAAATCCAGCATTTAGCTGATCCTTTGGTCCCTGTCTGCTGAAAGAACATATTAAAATTCCACTGGGAGGAGAAAGAGAGGCCTGGCTAGGAAGTCAAAGCTCTGTAGCCTTCTCCTATAAGTGTGAATTATTATTATTATTTATTTATATATTTTATTGCATTGTAGGTTTTGGGGTACATGTGAAGTACATGCAAGATTGTTGCATAGGTACACACATGGCCATGTTGTTTGCTGCCTTCCTCCCCATCACCTAAATCTGGCATTCTCCCCATGTTTTCCCTCCCCAACTCCCCGCACCCACTGTCCCTCCCCTAGATCCCCTCCGCAGACCCCAGTGTGTGATGCTCCCTTCCCTGTGTTCATGTGTTCTCATTGTTGGACACCTGCCTATGAGTGAGAATTATTTTTATTAGATTCCCTAAGTGCTGGAAAATGGGCTGAGTACATTTTAAAAATTCAGTTGAATGGAAGAAGCCATTGAAAGGAAGGATCTGTCCCTCTAGGTACCAAGGCTATGAGACCCTAAATTAGGAGCAGAGTAGTCTGCTCCAGAAGAGAGTATTAAAAAGAAGCAACAGGAGGAATATCAAGGAAAGATTTTCTCCTTTCTGAATTTTGCTGAATGCTGGCCCCAAGTGAAAAAGAATGACATTCTTTGAGCAAATCAGCTTTCAAAATGAGATCTTCTATATTATTTTCATTTCATCAAAACTTGTTTCTGACTCAGCCACTTAAAACATATAAAGTAATAGAAAACTATATAACTCAGTTGCAATTAACTGTCTTAAAATTTGCTCTGTACATTACCTGTGTTTATAAACAATTCTGAAGGTATTTTAATTTACCTATCATCTGTACTCATTGATCTTTCTAAATTCCTGTCAAGCTCTCTTCAATTCATTCTTAATTTTAAACATATTCTATAAAATATGTATATATTAATTTAACAGTTTTTGCAGAAAACACTCATTTTTTACAGGGAATTTGTTTTTTAAAAGCATTAAACAGTTAAAAAAATTTTTGTGGACTTTTCTTCAATGCCACGTTTATCTGCATATTCATTCTTGCTAAGGTGTAAGTATTGCATGTGTTTATTCATGTGATATTCTTTTATAATAAAATGAAATAAAGTAATAACATATGAACCAAAATTATCTGAATTATACAGCTTCTATAGATGCAGAGGTTCAGGACCACAATATTGAAGACAGATTTAAATAACGCTTTCCATTGTGAGGAAATGCAACCAATTGAAAATCTAATCAGAATATCAAAGCAAATACATATTACCAGGGTCTTCGTACACTCTAACAATAAAAAATGTATTGAACACCAAGTCCTAATCTCTATTTTTCTGTGATAATTTTACTAGTCAACAAGTAGCTAGCTTCAGTATTGACAATTGAAGAGGTCTTAAAATGAAGTGTGCTAGTATGCCTAATAATTTCCTACTAAATTGACCATGTCAAAATACATTTATGTGTGTCTTTCAATAGAAGACAATAAAAGAAAAGAAAATTGTTGTCACTTATCAACCCTGTAACCATTTTTTAATAACACAATAAAATAGGTGTTGTGGGGGCCATCACTTCTCCCATCCAACAACACAATAAAAATAATATTAGGGAAGAATGGATCATATCTTGGGCTGTTATTAAAATTCTTTCAAAAATCTACAGTCAGATTTATTTTAAGTATTTTCTCTGAGATTAGCAATATTTTGATGTTTTCTGCACATATGTTGCAGTATACAAAGACATTCTGTAAAAGCAAGAAGTCAATATAAAAGAAAATTACTTGTCAGCTTATAACTAACAAATTCTTTTCATTTCTAAGGTTTATTTTGGAATATTTCAAATAAGGAAAATTATATAATTACATAAATAACAAAAGTATTCCTCTAATTTGCGTCTCCTCTCAGAGTAGCCTTCAATGAAATCAGCTGTGAATTATTTTTTAAATATACAATTTTGCTTATGGATTAGAAACTTACCCTCATTTCACCCTGTATCTTAAATGAAATTTAGACAAAAATTTTAAGGATCAAGATAGAGGGTACTCCTTTACATTTTAAAACCCCCTTGCTTTTTACTAGCTATTTATTTAGCTACATAGTTGCTAATCTTTTTAAGGGGTTTTAATGCTAACATTAATACAATGCTTTAAAGTGAGTATCTTTCATGCTGAAATTCAAGATATTTCTCATTGTTATGAAGTGACCTTTCTCTTTCCTTATTTGGACGTTGAACAATACATATTTTTATAAAACAGTTGGCTAAAGGTGTAAAGTCTCACATTATTTCTAGTAGTTATTTTTAAATGCACTTCAAACTAAAACTTTATACCTTATTCTGTCTTTAACATCTTATCACAACATCTTAGCAAATCATCCTATTATAATATTTTAGTAAAAGACAGTGAAATTTGACAGCTGCAAATATGAATAGAATCTTCTTTTCTACACCAAAGGAAACCAGCAGATGTTTGAATCATAGGTAAAAGCGCCATATTTTGTAGAAATGTTTATACCTTCACACCAAAATGTAGGAAACTCTGCCAAACATGTTCAAGTTTAAATTTCATGTACAATATAAAGTTAAAACTTACCTTTTCTCAGCAATGACCTGTTATTGAAGCTGCCATCAATTCCGGTTAATGACTCTTTCAACAAAAACGGAAAACAGTAAAGTCACATGTCGTAAGAGTAGGCCTGTGTTGGATGCTGCTTAATATCACTACTGGGGGAAGAAAGGTGGGGGGTGGGGCGAGCACAAAACTTTTAAATAAAACCACTTCCTGGGTAGAGACTGTTAACCACACACATCACATCTTTACTCGGTTTGAAGAAATTTGCCTTGCATAGTCAACAATATTGTTATTTTTCAATGTGATTATCAATTTTCAAACATGACACATGTATAGAGATTTTATCAATTTTGACTTAAGGAAGGAAAATGTTGATTAAAAATTTATCAGTGGGAGGAGCAGACTGCTAAGCACTGAAGAAACTTCCCCTTTTTCTGCCTTCTAGCAAGAGCTTAAAAACAAAGCATCTACTCTGCTGGCTAAGCTTGAGATGTTCCCCTGCTCTCAGGACACTCTGAATATTGACTTTGGAAGCCAGGAAGCCACCTCCAATTCACAGAGCTGGTGCTTCTGCCTCATTCATGAAAGGACCCGCCAAAACCTGATCCAGTTAACAGATTCATGGGGCCTTGGGTGGGTTGCATTAGAACTTCAGAAGACATAGCCCAGAGCCATGCTGCCATCTGATCATCTGGGGAAAAGGAAGATATTCATCATGCTCATTGAATACATGTTGTGGCATTTGCTCTGACTGTGGCTCTCATACAGATGTGTCCATTCTGGCAGTTTCCTGAGCAGTTCTGAAATCTGCTGAGGAGCTTTTGCTTTCGCTGAATGATTCTTTGTGTGGTCTGACTTAAAAATAAAACAAACAAACAAACAAAAAATATATATATATAATAAATTAAAAGGGTATCATTTTGGCATTCTGCTCTGTGCCCTCCTATGTCAAACTTCAACCAACCCAAGACATATTTTTAAGGGATCTCAGAAATAATTCTAGGATATGCGTCTTTATTGAGCCATGGAGTTCAAGAATAAGCTCCTGGATTTTCAGGCTTGGCTAGTTTTGTGATTTTTGCAGCATAATCACAAAAGGAAATGAGAAAATGCTTTCCTTCCAAATATATGAGATAGTTAAATCACAATCTCTTGTCATACAAACCAATTAGACTAGAAATCTGTGTAATAGAGCTCAGTGGTATAGAATGTTTGGCATACAAAAAGTCAGTCTTTAAACCTAGTTTGGGTGGATATGGCCCAAGTTAGGGGCAGCATGCTCCTACCAGTTAATTTAATTGCTCTGGGTTTTTTCCTAAAAATCACATTTCAGATTGACCCTAGAATTCACTGTCAGTTGTCATTCCAGGAAGGGCCTTTTTAAGTGTTTAGAGTCCTGAAGATTTTTACTGAATCCTTCTCCTTCACACCAAAGAGAAAATGGAAAGTGCATAATATTAAAAGTGAGGAAAGCAGAATTCAGGCCTTAATTCTGACAATGCTATTTACTTAACCTTGGTCAAGTTACTTACATTCTCTGAAATTTAGGTTGTTTATCCATGTAATGAAACATCTGCATAAAAAAACCCATCTTGAATAATATAATAAGTAAACAGATGTACGTATTTTGTATATCATAAGGAATTGTAGATGTATAAATTAGCATGAGCTGGGAAATGTTGATACCGCCTAAGAAGCATCAGAAAAACTTCAGTGCATTCTGCTTGATTTAAGCCTTTTTACATCTGAGTCAGGCTCAGAAGTCTAGGGCAAGGAAAATAAATTAGGTCTTTTTTTTTTTTGAGTCAGAGTCTCACTCTGTCACCCAGGCTGGAGAGCAGTGGTGTGATCTCGGCTTACTGCAACCTCCACCTCCCAGGTTCAGGTAATTCTTCTGCCTCAGCCTTCTGAGTAGCTGGAACTATCGGTGCATGCCACCATGCCCATCTATTTTTTGTATTTTTAGTAGAGACAGGGTTTCACCATGTTGGCCAGGATGGTCTTGATCTCTGGACCCTGTGATCCGCCTGACTCGGCCTCCCAAAGTGCTAGGATTACAGATGTGAGCCACCACACCTGACCAGGCGTTTCCTTTTAAACAGATACTAATATTAGCCATCTGACTGGGAAACATATAAAATACCAATATACCCTTATGGTAATAAATAAATTTAAATTCCTACTTAAGGGTGACACAATATTTTTTGTCATCAACAACTACTCAATCAACAAATACAAGAGCCCATTTTCTTTGTATGAGGTAGAAGATGAGCCCCTTAGGCAATGTGATAATCCTGGATTTGATTTCCTTCCTTCCTTCCTTCCTTCCTTCCTTCCTTCCTTCCTTCCTTCCTTCCTTCCTTCCTTCCTTCCTTCCTTTCCTTCCTTCCTTCTCTCTTTTTTTGTCAAAGTCTCATTCTGTCACCCAGGCTGGAGTGCAGTGGCATGATCTTGGCTCAGTGCAACCTCCACCTCTCAGGTTCAAGTGATTCTCGAGTCTCAGCCTCCTGAGTAGCTGGGATTACAGCCATGCACCACCACACTCCACTAATTTTTGTATTTTTTTTTTTTTTGTAGAAACGAGGTTTCACCATGTTGGCCAGGCTGGTCGTGAACTCCTGACTTCAGGTAATCCACCCACCCCAGCCTCCCAAAGTGCTGGGATTAGAGGCTTAAGCTACTGCACTTGCCCTGGGTTTGATTTCTAAAAAGAGACCTACTCACTATGATTAAAGCTATAGATCAGTGCTTTGACACTTGTGGCTTGATATGTTCACTGTTTTTAGTAGCTAAGATTTATTGAATATTTGCCATAAACCAAACATTGTACCAAGCACTTTACATTCATTCTGCCTTTCAATCCTCACAACAAATTTGTGAGCTAGCCAATATTACTGTATTCTTTTGACATATGAGGAAACTGAGACTACTTTGTTGCCCAAAATAGTAAGGAGTATAATCAGGAGTCAAACCCAGAAGCTCTGACCTCAGAGCCCTTTTTCTAAATTACTGTGATAGCTCCTAACCACTTGCTATGCAGCACAACTCTAAGTCAATAGTCCTCAGGAAATATTTTACTTCTGGTATTCCTTTTGCTTCTTCACTGACTAGAATGATAAACTTAGCAGGAATAATTTCTGGGAATCATGAAATAAAGTCCCCCCCCCAATTATCTAAAATCAAAGAAAAGAAGATCAGGATAAACAGAAATGTACTGTGTTCATAGATTTTAAAAAACAGTGGAAATGCATCAATCTACTCAAATTATTCTACAAAGAGATTCAATAAAATCATAATTATAATTCCAACTGGACTTTTTGAAGAATGCAATGAGCTCCTTCCAGAATTTCCTGGAAGAACAAATGTCCAAGAAACCTAAGCTCATTCTGAAACAAAAAGCAAGGACTATTGACTTGCCCTGTTAGATTGACATGATCCAAAATCACAGTATTAAAAACATTTCAATGCTGGCCCAAGGAACAGCTCAGAAAATGACGGTATTTATTTGGGAAATTAATATATGACAAAGATAGCTCATAGATAAACAAAAAGGAACAGAATTGTTTTAATAGATAGTATTGGTAAGATATATTTGCTAAATAGAGGATAATAGATTAAGGCTTCGACATTAGATCACTTGCAAAGACGGACCACACACGGATAAAAGCACAGTTGAAAGGTCAAACCATGCTTTGATACAATAACATGAAGGAAAATATTTTTACAAAATGGAACTTTCTTAAACAGTATCCGTACATTAGAAAGAAAAAGAGCAAAAAAAGTATATTTCACTATACAATAATTATATATTTCTGTTACAGAAATATGTAGACAAAGATTACAGAAAAATGACAGACTAGTAGAAAATACCTATATTTATGAAAGATTTATACCAACCAATAGAAAAACAATAAGCATCCCAGTTGGAGAATAAGAAAATGAGTTGAATAAGTAAGTCAGTAAATAACAGGATTGTCCTGATATCCAACAGATGCGTGAAGAAATGCACAAGCTCTACAGTGATCACTGTAATACAAGTTAAGTCGGCTCCCATTGAAATGGTAAAAATCTAGCTGAGAATGTATAGAAAAAGGAACTCTCATACATTTGCTGGAGGAACTGTAAAGTGAAACCATTCTGATAAGCAATCTGGCAAAAATGAACAGAATTCAATATATGCATGCACTGTGTTCCAGCAACCCAAATCTGGTGTTAATATATGGTCCAGATAAATTAATCACACAGAGTTGTTTTTACTCCTTTAACACCATGAGTTAAATGATTTTGGTGTTGGCTCTTGTGGCTCAGGTAATATTTACCTGCATTGTGTCTGTGTGTTTGCATATGGTTAGGGAGAAAAACAGGAGTTTCCAGTTCCTCTGAATAGATGGTGTGAGGTGGACTAGAAAAGGAGACTAGAAAAGGGAGGAAAGACTTGACCTAACCTGAGAAAGGGTTAGATTTCCCCTGACAAGGATGAGAGAGGGATGGGTTTCTCTCCCATGCTTCACTCTCAAACAGTTGCCCAGCGCTGGCAAAAGCATTCATCTGGAGGGAGCAATCTATTAACTTATTGAGCACTTACTCTATGCCAGGCAATATAGTAGAATTTACATGTATTGTTGCTATAGATTTGCCCCCCCACCCAAAATTTATTCACTGAAATCCTAAGTCCCAAGATAATGGTACTAGGAGGTGGGACCTTCTGTGGGGTCAGTAGAACATGATGGTGGACCTCTCATAATTGGAATTAATGCTCTTCTAAAAAAAGACCCCAGAGAGCTAGCTCACCCCTTCCCTTGGAGGAGACAGCGAATAAGTGCCATCTACAAGGAAGAGAACCTCACCAGGCAGAGTGTGCAGGCATCATGATCTTTTACTTCCCAGTCTCCAGAACTGTGGGAAATACATTTTTATCATTTTAAAGTAACCCAGTTTGTGGCATTTTTGATATAGCAGCCCGAAAAAACTAAAACAACTATATCTTACATACTAGTTAGGAAAATAATGTGAATAAACAAAATACACAATAGATTAGATAGCAATGCTGTAAAGAGAAAAAAAGAAAAGCAGTGAAATGGGTCATGAAAGGGTGATGAAGTATAAAACTTTAAGCTGTATGAAAGAGGTCTCACTAAGGAAAATAAAGACCTAAGAAAAGTGA